TGATAGGGATTCATAGCTGGCAGACATCCTCAATCCACAAGAGATACAATCCCTGAAGAGACTTTTTAGAGTAAACTGGTCATCCCTCAGAAAGACCAGGTGATCAGTCAGAACAGAGTGAGAATCTGAATCCAGTAGTATAAACTGAGGCCCCACTCGGTCGAGATCATTGCAGGTGCTTGTCAAGACATTGCTCCCCTTTAAATCCTGAAAGTCGTTGCCGGACCAAACTGCATGGTGTTGTCTGTGAAAATTAGCTAATTAGCACGTTTAGCCCTTGCACCTAATACCAATTACCGGCCAGGGAAACTGCTTGCAGCTGGGAACTGTCAGAATCTAACACCATCATCAGATCTATGACAGGAGCAGATCTGAGTAGCCATGTGCTTGCCTCACTCACGTCGCAATGAAGTGATAACTCGCCTACCATAAATCAGGAGGCAAGACAAACCACAACAAAGGAACTGTAAACCTGAAACTAGCTCAAGGTCGGACTGAGCCAGGGAACTTTGCTGGAACGCTCTTGATTGTTGGAGGCTGGTGAACGTCAGACGCCTGGAGACCATGTTCCAGGACTGTGTCAGCCAGAGGAAAGAACTTTGACGCTCAGCCCCAGCCCAGTTTGTCTGCACAGCTGCTTTGGGCAACGCCCAAGCGATAAGTATTTGTTTAGTTAGTATAAGCTTTCTGTCTGTTTCTTTGTGTCTCGCTCACTGTAGCTTTCTCCCTAACCTGTATGTTTTTAAGTGTTTGTTTGTTTGTAATAAACCTGTTTGTTTTAATTGGAGTAGTCACCAATCCTTATTACTACCAGAAAGGCAATAAGGAGTCTCTAATGAGCCTCCTGCCATTAATCTCTCAGTGCACTGATAGGAATGACCCTGGGATAAGGTATATTCATACCCTGTAGGTCTCTGTAAATTGCTCTGGTCAGGGCAATAGCATTAGAGGCCGCAGGTTAAAGCCAAAATACAGGGTCAGGGTTCTTCACAGTGCTTTTGGATTATCTTGGTGTAAGCTTAATAAACATAACTTTTGTGTTCAATGATTGATTGTCTGGCTTTCTTTCTGTCTCACTCCCTCACCTCTGAGGAAAAATCCTTCTGGGTCTGCATGGATTTGGGCTGAAATCTGATCATCCTTTTAGTTCATTTGTACTGGGGCTGGGCTGTTTTTGGCCCTGATATCAATGCATCAGGCCCTCTGACTGAGCACATTTCACATTGGTGATTGTAGTCATTGTTTTGTATAGTTAAATGAAAGCAGGTTGTGGCCTCTAGAGCTTCCAGACCCAGGTTGGGAAATTCCTGGAGATTTGGGGGTTGTGCCTGGGGAGGACAGGGATCTCAGTGGGGTACAATGCCATAGAGACCACCCTCCAAAGCATCCATTTTCTCCAGGAGAACTGATCTCTGTAGTCTGGAGATGAGCTGTAATTTCAGGAGATCCCCAGGCCCCACCAGGAGACTGGCATCCGTAGGTCTAGATGTCTGTTGCATGTGTATCAGTCCCTTTGAATGCTGAAATAAATAGAATTTTTTTGTATAGCAGAGGTACCTGTGTAGGTACTTCCATCTCAAAATGTCACACTTTCCCCCCTTTTAGCAATGCATTATTCACCAAGTGGAAGTGGTGGCAGGAGAGAGGCAGCTGTAGCAAAGCTGTATGTAATTACATACACACAGTCATCTTTGTTTCTACAACTGAGCAAATGCAATCTATTATGAACACATGATCAAACATCTGTGGAATTGACGAGTCTGGTGTGATACTGCTGGCAAGTTACTTTCAGGTCTTCAGGGCTACCTCAATCAAAGGCCTAGAGGGCATAAAGTACTCTTGCTAGTGACCATGACAACACACCTATGGCCAGTGGAGGCACTTGCTCCCATTTAGGGTTTTGACCTTTTTAAAAAGGCACCTCCGGCCCCGGTCACACAGGAGGAATTGCCCCGCGGAATGGATGGATTGAGGGCGGATTAAACCGCCGCGATCAGATGCCAACATCTGGCAACCGTCACACACCCGCCCCCAACCCATCCCTTCCGGCCAAAGATGCGGAGTTAAAAAACCCCGGCAAAACACTACTACCTTCTGAAAAATCCATGGCACGGGCGGCTATGTGATCGCTGACGCACTCATCTCCCACAGCATGCGAGGCCCCCTGCCGAACTGCGCAGGCGGACACATGCACAGCTGACTTGCCTCGCTCTCCTGTCCATGGCTTCCCCCTCGCATCTGATCACACTGGGGAGCATATGCGCGGCAGCTCGGGGGATCTGTCTGATCCCGCTGCCACGTTTCTCTTTTGCTGCGGCTCTAAAAAGCCGCACTTCCGCCCCGGCTTTTCCTGCGGTGTGACCGGGGCCAGAATATCCTACTGACTCCATATCAATTCTGGACCATTCTACAGCATTACCAGACAGCTAAAAAAATAAAAACTTCCTTGGTTAAAAGCCTGGTGCTTAAAATCTTTCTTTGAGTACATGTTTACAAATAATTCCAGTTTGCAGCTACAGATCAGAAGGGCCTTGGCTGGTTTGCAAGGACAGATGTTGTGTTTTACACCATGCCATGTGACAACATTAGGCAAAATTTACCACCAGTTTTTTTTTAAAAGGGGTACTTTGGCATGGGAAGTTTCTGAAATTTTCAAACATGTGCCTCCTGGAATTGTTTCTAAAATTTTAGCACAGAAATAGTCTCTTTCCTTATGATGCACAAATCTGTGCCCCATGTGCTCCCGGGGTCGAATAAGGAGCACACAGTCAGAGTCCAGCGAGTCGAATAAAAATCTGTTTATTGCAAAAACAGGAAAATACAGGAATGGATACCTTGGCACCCAGTAACACCCAGCTGTATTCTGCCCCAACCAGCAATAGGTCTTATACCCCAAATGACATCATTATGAACCATACTTCAAGAAATCCCTAATTGGTGCCAAACAAACAGCATCATTTGAGCAGGCGCTTCTCTATTGGTGTACCCCCTGTGCTGGTCAGAATTACAAGTATCTGCATCTGCCTATCTGGCCCGAGAACAGAGAAGAACCGGGGAACAATAAGATCTTCTTTCAGGCATCATTTAGAACTCATCCATCTCAACATAGTACCAGGGAGTTTCCTGATAATGTGCAATAGTTCACATAGGACTCTGCTCTTGGCAGACTTCCTGGGGCCCTGGTACCTAGCTTTACAGAGGAAGATATTGTTTGGGAACATCTCGCTTCTCTCCAATTATGGTTACACCACACATATTTTGTTCACGAATGTCCTAGCTGCAATGCTTTGCATTTTCTAACAAGGCTGTTAATCTTAGGAGCATTACATTCTATTGCTGTCTAATTATTGCTAAAAACTCTTAAATTCTACTTCTTCTTTCTCGACAAGAATAAAACCATTATATGTATTCTCTACTCTAAGTTTCTTCTGTCTGGGCTAAATACTAGGATCTGGATATTCTATGGTCAGTCTCCTAAAAAGGCACAGTAGCAGTTGTTAATACACAAGACAAAAGAATATCAGAAATCACACTCATAAATCACATCCATTTATCTCTTGTCCTACATTTAGGGTTGCAATCCTATGCACTTTATTCTGGGAGTAAGCCCCATGGAACCCATGGGATTTACTTCTGCATAAATTTATGTCGCCTGTCTTTTTATACCCTCTTCACCTATGTTTGGTTGTGAGTTTCCTGCACAGTTGGAAGAGGGACTCGCCAGGCACAGCGGTCACTCAGGCACCAGGATCACGCCCTAGTGTGTTTATGGCACACCAGTACACCCCGAAAAAAGAAGAAATTGTGAGGTAACTGCGCTAGAAAATATTTAAATAATGATCACAACATTTATGCAAAAATGTGTACCAAAAATCTGCATATATAAATGCACAAAGGCAGTTGAAAATGGTGAAATTCAATGATCTCCGGAATGTTTTATAGTTTCGATGCTATTCTTCTTCCAAATGTGAATGAAAGCAGCGACTCTTGGTCTGTTATTTCAGCAGGTATTTCCCAACAATTTCATTAATTTTCACCGATGTATCATAACATAGTTGCAAGAGATTCTCTGAAAGGACGTTCCTAGGGCAAAGTGCTTGTATAAGGCACTTTATACAATCTCTTGTCGTGGCGAGGGGGCTTGCTTTGGTTATCCTCACAATCTCTGCAGGCAGCTGGATTGAGGTGGGTTTGCTCTGCTGCTACAGCTTGATCTTACAGCAGCGTTTGACATGGTCGATCACAACCTCTTGACCCACTGCCTTGCCAATGTAGGAGTCCATGGGGTAGCCTTACAGTGGCTGACCTCCTTTCTCCATGGAGAGGGACAGAGGGTGTCAGCTAGGCACCTACTGATATGTGGGGTTCCTCAGGGGGCAATCCTCTCCCCAATGGAGAGACTGCTCCTGTGAATTTGGCTGAGGGTTTGGAGGCCATAGTGAGATGGTCAAAGCAGAGTTGGTTGAGACTGAATCCTGATAAGATGGGGGGTCGGGGGGATAAGGGTCTGGGAGGCTGGCTCCCGGCCCTTGATGGTGTGCCCTTATCACCGGTACTGACTGTCAAGAGCCTGGGTGTGATTCTGGATGCCTCCTTGTCAATGAAGGCCTAGCTCACAAATGTTGCCAGACTGGTGTTTTTTCAGCTGTGCCAAGTAATCCATGCAATGGTCACCTCCAGGCTGGACTACTGCAACTTGCTCTACTTAGGGCTGCCCTTGAGACTGACCTGGAAACTCCAGCTGATCCAGAATGCGGCTGTGCATGTCCTTACTGGGTTTGGGAAGTTTCCAAAACTTCAAAACTGCAATTGTTTCTTAAATGTTAGCACAGAAATAATTTGTTTCCTTAGGGTTGCAATCCTATATACACTATCCTGGGAATAAGCCCCATGGAACCCACAGGATTTACTTCTGCATAAATTTCTGTAGCTTGTCTTTTTCAGTCCATTTCACCTGTGTTTGATTTTGAGTTTCCTGTAGACTTGGAAAAGGGACTCACCTGGGACAATGGTCACTTGGGTGTTAGGATCAGATCCACTTGTCTCTATGCCACACCAGTACACCCCAGCATCTTCCTCTCTGAGGTCCTCCAGTGTCACCGTGAAGCAAGAGCAAGTATGATTGTCCTTGACAGATGTTCTGCCAGCCTTCACCTCTGCTTCTAATCCTCTGGTCTTTACAACCACAGTGCAAGAAAGCCAATCGTATCCTTTGCACCAATATTTGTAATATGTTTGATAGGATTTATCATAGTGACACATTACAGGTAAAGACCTGCCAACAAATCCATGCACTGTGCCGGGGCCTTTCACAGCAGACGTAAAACCTGCTAAACAGAAGAAGCAAACAGTAGCTCAAGCCTCTGTGTGTGTCCCGTAGCTGAAAATGATCCAGCTACAGGGTCCAATGCTGGAACAAAACTGTAATCTTTATAACAAGTATGCACAGCTGGAGGCTTCTATATATCTATTTGTGCAACAAAATACTTGTATGTAAAACCGTGGAGAAAATATTCAGTTCCCAGAATAGGAAAAACGATGAAGTAAACATTGAGGCATGTAACTAATAAGCCATTCATAACAATTGTTTCAGGTGGGCAGCCATGTTTGTCTGCAGTAGAAAAGCAAGATTTGAGTGCAATAGCACCTTAAACAACCAACAAGACTTCTGGGGTATAAGCTTTCGAGAATCAAAGCTCTTTTCATTAGAAATCTGATGAACTATGACTAACAAAGGTTTATACCCTGAAAGTCTTGTAAGATATTACTGCACTTGAATATTGCCATTCATAACGAGTGATCTCAGATACGCTGAAGTAGATTTTCCCATTTTCTAAAAGATCAGTTAGGTACTGTGGTAAAGGAACAGCATTGATGCTGGTGTCAACTCACTAAAACACACACACACACACACACACACACAAGCCTTAAACCCCAAAGGTAGGATTTTGAGTCACATTTCCTCCATTTTTGAATTTCTACTAAGCTTTGTTTCCACAAAATAAAACTTTTCATTTCAAAAGGGCTAGAGATCACTCTGCAAGACTCAGCATGCTTATTCAAAAATAAAACCCATTGACCTCAATAGTGCTGACTTCCTACTAAGTGGATTTGGGATTGTAACCTTGCAGGCTGCACCAAAGGCTTGGTACTGGATGTTCTGGTTCCAGAAGATAAGAAATGTAAAATGGATATGGTGATACCTTTTTAGACCAATTTCTTTGACTGTTAGCACACAGGTTTCCCAGTTCTACATGGAGCTACTCACTGGGTATTATGAAAGCCATAACTGAAGGCAATGATTCCATTCAATTATGCCTGAAAGAGAGTATATGTTTTAAGAGGCTGGAGCTACTTTCCATATGTTTATTCAATTTCATCTTGAAGACGTCCATGCTTGTAGCCACCACCACCTCCTGTGGCAGTGAATTCCATGTGTTAACCACTCTTTGGGCAAAGAAGTACTTTCTTTTATCCATTCTAACCCAACTGCTCAGCAATTTCATTGAGTGCCCATGAGTTCTTGTATTGTGAGAAAGGTAGAAAAGTGCCTCATTTCCAAATATATGAGTATCTTCAAACTGCCTAAGCCAAGGGAAGCATCCAGAAGACCTTATAACTGGCAGATTAAAGTCCAATAGCAATATCATGGTGCCAAATGTTAATCAATCACTTAGCCCAAACTAGGCAATATATGTGGACAAACTACTGTTGTTTTTCCTTGTGAAATGTGTGGGAGGGGGGATGAGGGTGGTGTGTATCCAGTTTGACTGCAACAGTGGAGGGAGGAGTGTTTCTGATTTTTAAAAAAACAAAACACTTTCCTGTCCCCAAACTGACTTTCTTTCTGTAGCTGAACAGATATGAGGGCAGCTTAGCTTGAAGAATACCTAGCTGTAGTTCAGTAACAAAGAACCACAGTGGAAAATCAGATAAACTAAACTACACATTTGTAAGAAAAGGAGCATTGTGTCATTACTGCACAAGGCAAAGGCAGTAAAGGCAGATCATTTTCCAAATGCTTAGTTTTTTAAAAAAAAAATTCCTTTGAATGATGTGTGCTTCCCTTCTCCAACACATTCAAGAACTTTAAAAAGTTTCCTTAAGAGTGGAATCAACCAGATCATACATTTCTTCTGATTTTGGCTTATTACATGAGACACAAGGAAATGGCTACAAGAAAGATGGGGGGGGGGGAAATCCTCCCCCAACGTGAACCTCCCCCTTTCTCCATCACCCATCCACAGTTGCACATTTATTAAGATACAGCAGTGCAAGGGTCACAGCACATGGCAAGGGAGGGGGAAGCATACACCCACTATGAAGTTATTGGCACAGGTCTAGTTGAAATTACTGTCTTGTAATATATTCCAGAACTACCTTATGTATTTGTTCTAACTTATGCAGCCCTTGTTTTCTGGTGAATCTTCACGCTATCACAACATGCCGGATCAACAGCCCCTGGCCGGAAAGGCCGTGGGGCTGGGGAGGCATATTTGCCGCCCAGAAGAGGAGACAGGCTATCGTGTTGGGCCAGGATTGGCCCATTTGTATCCAAGCGGGAGGAGGGGCCAAGGAGACTTAAGCAGGCTCCCTCCTCGACTCCGCAGCAGTTCGCCGAGTCGCCGACCCACCCTCCCGCCCTGTTTGAGTGCAGGCTTGGCTGGTCGCCCATTTGGGGGCTGGGTAGGAATTTTTCGCCCCATCCTGATTGGCCTGTGGAGGGGGTGTTTTTGCCTACCATGCACTTCAGCAGTGGTGAAGGTGTTTTTTAAGGGTGGGCCGTCAGGTTAGGTTGGTCACTTTAGTTTCCAGGGTTCTAGGCGGTATGTAGGTGGCGGTACGGTGAGCACCAGCCAACACCCATATTTTGGGTTGAAAGGGGTCTAGTGAGTACAGCCTTTGTGCCTAGCGGCACGGGGCGGGGAAAACAGACTGCCTGGGGGAACACCCCATTTGGTCCTCTCTTTGAACCTAGCGGCTCGGGAGTTTGGGCTAGGGGGTCGTCCTGTAATGGCTAACTGGCCGGGCGGGAGCCATCAAGGATGGCTCCTAGCCTGGGGTTGGGTGGCTCGCCCTATGTCAAAAGTTAAGGAAGGGGTCAGTGACCCCCGGGCCTTGATTATACCGCTGAACTGTTTGCCCTTGCCGTTGGTTACAGTTAAGATGTCATTTAATAAAGTGGCCCAATAGTTAAACCCAGCACCTGTGTCTGTCTCTTATTTTGTCTTGGGTGGCAATGGCAAAACGTGGAAGAAAAAGCGATCAAATCAAGCTAAAAATTGTGAACATTTACATCTTACTGCAGATATGTAAATAATAACCCTTACTGCAACATACAGTTGACAAAGATTTTCAATTCCTAACATGGGTCATCCTCTGTCTATCGATCTGGTGTCCCTAAACCTCAGGAATTCTCTCTTTTTTCTGGCACAATCCCTTATTCTCTCTCTACCTGTCCATCTTCCCTTTGGTCCAAAAGACAAATAAAAACTTCTTACCTGGCAGGAGGGAGATGCAGATGCTCCCTGTTAAGTGAAGCAGCAGCATGCTGTCCAGCCCCAGCCACTCTTCTCTAGACCTGTTGTTTTAAATTTTAACAGACACATCAACTTCTCTTTTAGAATGCTCCAATTTGCAAAATGTGTGGTTTGCGCTAGCTTCAGCCACTTCTTCCTTCTTCCCCCAATTATGGTCATGGTCTCCGTTCCTCATGATGTCAGGGAAGCCCCAGAGAAGAGAAGAACTGTTGAAATCATGAAGTCTCAGCCCCAGGCCCGGAGCCAGGATTTCTTAATTCAGGGGGCCTTTGAATAAGTCAGGGGGCACTGATAAAATAAGAATAAAATAAACTGACACTCGCAGGCAGGAGCAGGGTTATTTCCCCTATTGTGGAGGGTGGGTGGAAGTGGAAGTCAAGTCTTACCCTAACCCTCCTCCTCTCCTTTCTCCCGCAACCGCATTGGCTGTGTGGAGTGCAGGGAACTACAGCAAGAGTGGCGGGCTCCTGTTCGGTTCCTTATTTCTTTCTTCCTGGCTGACTTCATGCTTCCGTGGTGACTTTGCCTCAGTCACACCCCCACCCACTGCCCTGCAGGGGGGATTTCTGCTGCAGCCCACCTGGGGAGACAAGCCAAAGGAGGAGAGGTGGGCGAGCAGATGGGATGGAGATGGCTGCTCTGCTGCTGCTGGTGGCTTGTGTGCGCCCTGCGTTAGTGCAACCAAGCTGGACTGAGAAGGTGGGAGCTGAAGGAAAAACCCAGGAGGGGAAGCTGAGGGAGTGCTGTGTTTCTCTCTCCCTTGGCAGCCAGCTTCCTTTGGGATGAGGGCACAGGCGCATGCAAGTGAGCGAGGTCTGCAATCTTGCACTGGAGGGAGAAGGGGAGAAATCTCTGTAGTTGCAAGTTCAGCCACAGGACCCACAGCCCCCTGGCCACACCTCACCTACCAGCCCGCTCGCCTGGCTGCCTTGCACCGCTTCATGCCGTGGCTTAGGGATGTGCATTTGGTTCATCTGAGCTGAATGCACCGCCGAAAATGGCCCATCGGGCCCCTTTCAGGCTGCTGTGGGCCGAATTCAGATTCTCTGATCTGAATCAGCCCCAGTAATGGTGAAAACATAGGGTAGGTAGTCAGTTTATTCGGTATATCACCAGCCCAATTACAAACAATACAAAAGGGTACCAATAATATATATAAAATATTTAAATATAAAACTGCATTTAATCTGCATATGTTAATTACAAAATTACTAAAACTCTAAATTTCTACAATATTCTATCAACTGTTATTCAACTGTTGAATAAATATTATAGAGGTTATACAATTCTACTCCCTATCTCCTAAGTCTTCTGGATTCTTTCTAAAATTATACTATATGTGCAGCCCGTATTTTTTGGGCAATTGCTAGAAACTT